TCATGGAGCCGGCCGAGCGGGCGGACGGCAGGGATCCCCCGGAGCCCGGCGGGCTTCCCGGCCCGGACCCGCGGGGCTTCGTCCCTCAGAAGGAGATCGTCTACAACAAGCTGCTGCCCTATGCCGAGCGGCTGGACGCCGAGTCCGACTTGCAGCTGGCCCAGATCAAAAGCAACCTGGGCCGGGCCGTGCAGCTCCAAGAGCTGTGGCCCGGGGGCCTCTTCTGGACCAGGAAACTCTCCACGTAAGTGTGTTAGGGCCTGCAGGGTGGGTGCGGGGGATGGGGAGGGCAAAGGCTCAGTGGGAGGGCGTCCGGGGCGGGGGGTGGGGGAGGCCGCTCTTTGTCCGCACCGGACCGCTGGACTCCGCTCTGCCCCGACTCTAGCCGGTGGTCCCGGAGGAGTAGTCGGAGAATCGCGACAGGAAGCCTGGGAAGCACTCAAGTCCCCTCCCTGCTACTTTCCTGCGGGACCTCCTTGGTCCTCACCAGCCCTTGACGTCCTCCCCAGCCCTCGACGTCCTCCCGAGCTGCTTCTCCCCAAGGGTTCGGGTTGTTGTCTTCCGACCTGTGGGGCCCTGGGGAGCCGGAGGGCACCGGGCTCCCAGGGAAAGAGGTGAGCGGTCCCCCAAGGGTCCTCCTTGGACCTTTGCTCATGAGGGAGGAGAGACAGAGAGGATTCACCTATGAGGGAGCAACTATTGACTTTTCCTTGTGTTTCCTCGGGCTCTTCCTCTACGGTCTCCGCCTCTTCGTATCCTTCAATTCATGTCTAGTAACTTTCTGAATGAGAAGGAGGCCGTAGGGAACTTGTAGGTTCTGCTTATTTGGGCCTGCTCAGGCTTTGTGGGTTTGATTGAAAAGATTGGTTTAAAATCAGCCCTTAGCTCATTCTCGGGCTGTACACTAGACGTTAATGTTGAGAATGTTGAGTCTTAGAACCTCCGGAAAGTGTGTTTCTCCAGTTGTGACATTTCCTTTGGGAATGTGCGACCCTAAGGAAAATAGAGAAGAGAGCTGTCAGATTGTCCAGGGCATTATGAGTACCTGGCTTGTGTTAATTTTTGAGTCTCTCAGATGAATATAGATGACCTAAATCAGTTTCAGTTGTTAAATTATTCTTTTATTACTGTTACTATTTTTTTGCATAAACACCCCGCAAACTATAGTGTCACTGAAAATAAGGGGGAAAGCAAGTAAAAATAGTCTTGGGGGGAAAGGTTAGAGACTTTATTTATTTTTTTTGTATACCCCAAACCATTTATGTCCAAATAACCAGCAAGATGGGCATCTTCCCTGTGTCAGAATAATTTTTTTAAGAAAGTTGTGCTGTATCTTGCTTGGTTAACTGTACACAAAATCTGGTAACATTGTATGTTCATGAATGTGGGTATGGATGGATAAACATACAAGACATAAGTCACTTATCCAGTGTTTACCCAAATCTGCTGAGTGAACTGGGTGATGACTCAGGGTTTTGTAATGCAATAGTCTTCTCTACATTTCCTCACAGGATGATTCTTACCTGCCAGTTATTAGGGAGCCTCTGACAAATTTCTCATCTCCTCTTGAGGGTGGTAGTGGTGGGAGTAATACCTTTTTAATTAAAACTAAACTGAAACACTTAATTTGCCCTTTTCAAAGAGAGACCATAAAATGTCAAGGTTAACAGCTCTCCTCTTGATTAGAGTATGGAGAAGTTTGTGTATTTAGGATTCATGGGAGACTTTGGAAAAAAAGAAATGCAACAGGGAGAAGAACCACTTTCAGTCAAAAGAGAGGAAATGTTTTATAACTGATTAACATCAAATGATTTTTCAAGTGAGCCTCCTATGTGTTTGTGTTACTTAGGCACAGTAAAAATAAAGTTACTTTGTCAGTTCCAGTAATTCCCCCATTTTAATCACTCTTGTTAGATTTACCAGAGAATAACCATTTTGGGGGACACAGCTTCTTCTAGATGCATAATATATAAGTATACCAGTGTGTGAATGCATACCTGGTTTGGATTTCTTTTTTTCTATTTTATTTTATTTATTTATTTATTTATTCTTTTTATTAACATATAATGTATTATTTGTTTCAGGGCTGGTTTGGATTTCTGAATCTGGAATCTACACAGAGTTAAGCTTTGTTTTCTGACCTATTACTAAGCTTGGCAAATTAGCACCTGGAATTGGATTATTTTTGATTTACTAAGTATAAGTAGCTTTTGCCTAGAAACAGCTAAAAATACAGTGGAGACAGTCCTTGGTGTTTAGGGCAAGATTGCGGTTAATAAGGCTTACTAGCCTATGAACCCCAAACCATTCATGTTTAAATAACCAGCAAGAAATGCTGTCAGAATTTTATTTTGGAACAGTGGTTAAATGCTGCAAACTGATTCTCAGGACTGCACTATGAGACATTTTGAACTTGGTGGGACATGTTGTGATCTTGGGTGTAATTTTTTTCTCCTAAGTCATGTTAAGGTGACCTGTTTATAGTTGCACTTGTTGTTTTTTAATGAGCCTTGTGTATTGCACAAGTTTACATCTAAATGATGCCAAAACATGTGATGACAGCTGTCAGTTACCTGAGTAGTGATCATATTTAGTACTTTGTAGAAGAATGGAAAGTAGTAATGAAAATAAAATGCAGGGGTGCCTGGGTGGCTCAGTTGGTTAAAAGTCTGCTTTCGGCTCAGGTCATGATCCCAGGGTACTGGGATTGAGCCCCACATCGGGCTCCCTGCTCAGCGGGAAGCCTGCTTCTCCCTCTCCCACTCCCCCTGCTTGTGTTCCCTCTCTCGCTGTATCTCTCTCTGCCA